TGCTGAAGGTGCAAGAGCAAGAGGAGCTTCTAGGATTATTGGCGTTGATGCTAATGCTTCCAAATTTGAGAAAGGTACATTCTCTTCTAATTCTTTTTTTTTTTAATCAGTTTTGATTTGGTTTTTTGTTGGTTTGGACACTAATGATTCAAATAACAATAAAAAATTTCATTTATACGCTATCTCAAGCATGACATAATAAACATATTCCAAAATCTATTGAATTTATGAGTTAAGCATTGACATATTACTCCAATCCACTATTGCAGGTAAACTGATGGGAGTAACAGACTTCGTAAACCCTAAAGACCTAACAAAGCCAGTTCATGAGGTACTCCATTTCATAACACAACAAATATAATGATTAATAATCATAGATATTAACCATTGTGATAACTCATATACAAAATAAAAATAAAAAACAACAGAGGATACAAGAATTAACTGGAGGAGGCGTGGACTATAGCTTCGAATGCACAGGAAACGTTGATGTTCTTCGCGAAGCCTTTTTATCCACTCACGTCGTAAGTCTCTATCTATACCAGTATGAAATGAGAGATCAACGAGTTAATTAATGTGTTTAATGAAAATAAATCCAATGATTAGGGTTGGGGATCGACGGTGCTTGTTGGGATATATCAGACGCCAAGAACATTGCCTCTTCATCCAATGGAGCTTTTCGATGGCCGTACAATCACTGGTTCTATTTTCGGCGGCTTCAAGCCTAAATCTCAGCTTCCAGATTTCGCCAAACAATGCATGAAAGGGGTATGATTTTTTTATCTCTTAGTAACTATGATCGAGTTTCGGTGAAATTATAATAATTAGAATATTTCATATGCAGGTTGTGAAATTGGAACCTTTTATTACTAATGAGCTTCCGTTTGAGAAGATAAACGATGCGTTTCAGCTGCTTCGCGATGGAAAATCTCTTCGATGTCTTCTCCAAATCAGCAAATTTCTCAAGAAATGATTCGACACATACATATATAATTCACAAAGTTTACTGCATGTCTGCATTATCTATTATTATCTCACCCCATAATTATTTATATATATATATATATCATTATTTAACTAACCATTATTTTTTTCTAATGATTATTTGATTTTACATCAACTCAAATTATCTATTGATTTCATATATAATTATTGTTTTTTTAGTCGATTATGTCTCATAGTGTTCAAAAGAATTTGAGTTATATATAACTAACCACAAAACACTGATATCCAGTCCACACATATAGTCTAACTTAAAAGTCAAATAATTTGATTACTAATAAGACATAAATTTCAACTACATGTTGAATCGTGGATGTCTCTTTCTATTCAAATCTAAAACTCACAATATTCTATGTAGTCCTAATTATTTTGACGTATAACTGATTTGTATCACAAATTAAAATGCAATTTTTTATCCTTGGGTTGTAGTGTGCATGAAATATGTTGTATTAAACTATTTGGAATAACTACGTAATTTAATTTGAATAGATCAGAAAATCGGTAATTACGTCAGTCTGAGCATGGGTTTACATGACAACAGACTCTTGTCGGAATTGCTTGACATGCAAACTTTCCTCTGATTCACCAAACCAACCATTTGCAGTTTCACTTATTAACTATTGACTATGGCTAATTAATTAAGCACTAATTAGTTAATCATTTGACAACTATATAGTACTCTCTTTTTGCCTCACCACTCACACCAAATGCAACTATAACCTTCCTCGCATTCAAATGTATTATTTGGATTTGGTGCGATTGCTATTTGAAAGAAAACAATATATAAGAATCATGTACATTGGTTTTATATAAACTTGAGGAATTTCAGTCGAAATTCAAACTAATTCCCAATGGAATGTAGAAGAGCCGATTATTCTCTCAATGATTAAAATCAAAGTAGGAATATTGGAACTTGGTTTGAACTTTTTCTTTTGATGATCTTGTCTAAGTAACTGAAAAATCTAAGCGATTTCCGTTAGGATTAGGTTTTAAGGGGTTTATATATTGTACATTTTTCATAGGAAAAAGAATGGTATATTTATACTAGAAAAATGAATGGTATATTTTTATAGAAGAACAAAATTTATTCTTATATACAGGGATCTAATGGTTTGTAAAATAAATTCACTAAGTCTACGAAAAACTATTGGTTAAGACAAAGAGTATTCGACTCAGTTCTGACTCCCTTTTAATTTCGTCTAACGTTCTTGTTTTTTTATCTAAATTTATAACAAATGAGCACACATCTTCTCACCCAACTCATAGCAGAAGGACCACATGAATCAAACTGCCGAAAACCAGAACCAACAATTTAAACATGCTTATTTTCGCTGTCAATACTATTGTATAATGTTAGCATTATTTTGAATATTTAACTTTTTATGTTAAAACAAAAGTTTGATGGTCCATATAAGATAAACAAAATAGATATTTAATTTATTTTTCCTTGTGATTTAATGATTATATGAATTGTTTTCTGATATTTTTGTTCTATGCAACTAATTTTCAATTAACAACATATGTGAACATGTGAAGTGATTTAACAAAAGAGAATGACCAAATGACTAATCAATATTATTAGTATGGGAACAAATTACGAGGTGAAACCTCGCATTCAACTCAATTAGAATTAGAATAAAGAAATGAAAAAAAGTGAAAGATCGAGAGGTCAAATGTGGCTAATCATTATGTGATATTAGTTAATCCATCAATTTTCTACCCAAAAGCATGATTAAACATAGAATTTATAAATATAAAACATCATTATTAATGTTGAAACACAAAGAGCCCATCAACAGACAGATGATGAGAACAGTGCTTTGTAGGGTAACAACTTTTTTTTTGAACCTTTAGGGTAACAACTTTAATATGTAGAGAATTATATGATAAGAAAACGATTAAAATGCCATAGCACAAGCATACTGAACATAATATATATATATATATATATATATATATATATATATATTCTCCGTATGCTAGTTCCCATTAAAGTGCCATATACAAAAGTTTTGATTAAAATGTTGAACTGAACATATACATATATGTTGCGGAAATAAATGTTGCTAATTTAATATGTGGGTACATAATCCAACCATCGCCTTTTTAGTTGTGAGTAGATATTCCAACCTGTCACTCCCACTTTCCTACTCTATATTTGTGTAAACTTTTTATTAGCTATTTCATTATCTAAAGGTATAGCATTTGTGCTCAAATACGAGGAAACAAAATGTGAGTAGATATTAACCGAGCTACATGTAAACCATAATGGTATACGCAATTATCCCTTCATTTCTGACATTATAAATCCTTGTTTAGAACATCGATGGGAGGAGAATCTTCTGGTTTAATATTGGTCGAGAAGAGTTAAAGTGATCAAAATATGATTGTCTAAAGTGTTTAACTATTTTCTGATTTTAAGTAAATTAAATAGCTTGAAATAGACATGCATTGGGGAACGCCCAGAGATAAATATGATGTAATGAAGGTGGAGTGTCACACTTAGTGAAAAAAGCATGTCCCTTGCTCTCCTCCCCTTGTCTTTCTTTGACTTTGGCCTTGATTGGCTATTTTTTTATGCTATATATTGGCCTTGATTGTTTGCAGATTTTTTATCACTTCATTATACTGGAATTTAAACATCGCAAATTTGTTTTGACCCATTATTTTATAAGGCTAAATGAATAGCTAACACAAGATATTAAGAATCAAAAGCTAGTTTCTAAAATTTTATGATGTTTTGATTGAGCTACGTATTTGAATAATTTTCTAATATTATTATTTAATTATTTTATTTAAATAATTCTGTAAATTTATTTTAAAGTACACTATAATTGGAATATATAAGAAAGTTATTTACATCTATGATTGTATTCGGTTCATATATACTTAATGAAACTATTCATGAGCTAAATTTAAAAATAATTCAACTATTCATAAAGTTTATACTTTGTAGTCATAATCAAAAAACTCAATGGAAAAAAGAATATCTACAAGAGAATAAGATTCGAGAACGAACTTTTTTGTTATTAGAGAGACTGATACATCAAGATATTTACTTAATTTTTAAATAATTTACTATTTTTTTGGCAGAATCAAACATCATTAATTAGTTCAGTTTCCAGTCCCTTTAGATAATTATTTTATATTGTTCAAAGATTTTTAGGGTTTTGAGATCCATTATAAACAGATCTTTTAGGCTTATAAGATTATATTCACTTTATGATGTGAGTAATGAAGATGAGAGTTTTTCTTTTTTATAAGTCTCTCATACTTTCAGTATTTATTTCAAAGATTAATTTCTGGATATTCGAAAAATCAACGATAGAATTAATATCATCAACATTTCCACCATAATAATCTTTGTGATATATCAAACGGAAAGATCATACATCGAAAATATAGATAACTATTTTCTTTCATTAATAATAATTTTTCCCTTTTTTTTTTGTAAAGAATAATTTAGATATAGATAACTGTTTTCTTTCCTATATTTATTTGACAGTATAAAAAAATACACTTTACATTTACCATTAACATAAACTCTTTTTGTCTTTCACATGAAATTCAAATTCCGTAATAAGTATTTACAAGAAAACAAAAAGATTAATCCCCACTAAACCCGTTTACCTACGTTAGTTAGTATTTTTCCCTTTTCTACATACACATGACATGAGACGTCAAAAGAAATATGACTTACGTCAGAACCTACACATGATCAACTTCGATTTAGACATATAACATAGGTTAAATATATTATTTAATTCCATAAAGATACTTTAAATGCATGATAATCTTCCACAGCTTTATTTCATTAATAATAATTTTTCCCTTTTTTTTGTTAAAGAATAATTTTTCCTTTTCTCGGGCTATATATGTCGTCGAGTCCCCCACCACCTTTATAAATTATCTCATCGCCTGCTTTCTCATTCTAAGTTGTAACCATTTCCACTTGTAATCATACAACTTCTCTACTCTGCTAAACCAGAAAAGAAAAAACAAAACAAAAAAAACAAAAAAGATATCGCTGATCAATGGCGGAGAATAAGGTAAATCTGTCGATTAATGGACAATCAAAAGTGCCTCCAGGTTTCAGATTCCATCCCACTGAAGAAGAACTTCTCCATTACTATCTCCGCAAGAAAGTTCACTCTCAAAAGATCGATCTTGATGTCATTCGTGAAGTAGATCTCAACAAGCTTGAGCCTTGGGATATTCTAGGTTCGATAAACCCTAATATGAAGAACTCTCTCTCTCTCTCTCTCTCTCTCTCTCTCTCTCTTTCTCTCTCCATGCTATAAAGTCTCTCTATTTTTGAACCATTTTGGTAAGCAAATGCAGAGGAATGTAGAATCGGTTCGACGCCGCAGAACGACTGGTACTTCTTCAGCCACAAGGACAAGAAGTATCCAACAGGGACTAGGACAAACCGGGCAACTGTCGCAGGTTTCTGGAAAGCTACTGGTCGTGACAAGATCATCTACAGTTGTGTCCGGAGGATTGGATTGAGGAAGACACTTGTGTTCTACAAAGGAAGAGCTCCTCACGGTCAGAAATCCGATTGGATCATGCATGAATATCGCCTCGACGATACAACTAATGTAAGTATAGCTATCATCAATATTCATTGTAGGTTGGTTAACAAAAAATATGAACTTATGATTATAATTTGTATCTTTTGAGAAGTAGGGTTTAATTTAGGCCAATGTTTCATGGTATGTCTTCATAATCTCTTGTTGTGTATATATAAGATTCTATTTGTTTCAATATCAGGGATCTTCTGATGTTGTAACTGAAGATCCGATGAGCTATAATGAAGAAGGTTGGGTGGTATGTCGAGTGTTCAGAAAGAAGAACTATCAAAAGATCGACGATTGTCCTAAAACCACACTATCATCTTCACCTGATGATGACACGGAGGAAAAGAAAAGGACCGTATCTTCTTCACTAGACCGTGTTCTTCTCTACATGGACCGTACCGGTTCTAACATTTGCATGCCGGAAAGCCAAACGACGATCAAAACTCAAAATCAAGACGATCTCTTATTCATGCAACTCCCAAATCTTGAGACGACAACCAAATTAGTTACCCCGGTAGACCAAAGCTTCATGATTCCGAATTCCTTTCCGGTTCAAGAAAAGATAACCGGCAGGCCGGTTTGTAGTAACTGGGCTAGTCTTGACCGGCTTGTGGCTTGGCAATTGAACAATGGTCATCATGATACTTGTGATCGTTCGAGTTTTGATGAAGAAGAAGAAGACGGTGATACTATGATGCAGAGATGGGATCTTCATTGGAATAATGATCAGGATAATGTCGATCTTTGGAGTAGTTTCACTGAGTCTTCTTCGTCTCCTTCGTCTTTAGACCCTCTTCTTCATTTATCTGTATGATTATATATATACACGTATTACGTATACGTACGTAAACACACATATACACAAGATGATAAAAAAAAAATACGAAGTTCTGTTTTTTTTTATGTGGAATTGTTCTACCTCTGATCTCTACAAAACCTCAAACTTAGAAACACTAGTTGTAAAAATCATTTTTTTTGTTTGAATAAAGTTTTAAGTTAAATCTAATAAATAAAGAATATGTATATATACGTTTATATTATTGCATATATATAACAAACAAATAAATTTTGTTAATATACTGTCTCATGTACTGAGCTATCACGTCTAGATTTTGGGTTTTAGCATGTTTGTTACGGTAGAGTAGAGGCAATACTATACAATAATGACAAGAATATTGATAATTTGATAAAGTTTACCAAATTAGAGAATGAAGAACGACGAGAATATTGATAAAGTATCATTGTCGTTTTTCCGACGATGGACATGTATAATAATATATGAAGTGATATTTGTTTTGACTTGGATCAAATAAAAGCGTGCTAATAAATAATTAGAGGTGTCAAATTGCGCTCTGATCCAAGTAAAACCGCAGCAGTGCGGGCTTGAGCTCCATAAAATTTGTCCAAATAAAATGCGGGTTTTGTAATCCAAACCCGCATGGAAGTTGGGCTTTTGTGGGTCGGGTCAAAGCGGATCCGCGGGTTTGCGGGCCAACCCGCAAAATTTGATATTTTCTTGTAAACTTCGAAAAGTGAAGTATTTTGTCATTTTTATTGGTGGATTTCAAAGTAGTAGTTATGGAGTGAATCAAAGCCTAGTAGAGTCATACAATTCAGCTATTGGGCTTTGTGGTAGCTTTATTTCAATGAGATTAAAGAATCATCAAACTAGTATGTGTTTTATATTATATTCGATTCAAATTCTGTTATTGGATTTTTGAATTTGGAAGAAAATCTGGTCATTGTCTTCCCGGCTAAAAACTAGTATTTTTTTTAAAGTTTTAATTTCAGTTTAATGTCATAAGTTTGTTTTTTTTGTTGGTTTTGCTCATCGACTATATCACGGACGTGGTATTTCTTTTGTACGCAGCAATACAAAGGTAATTTAGAATCGCTTAAATCTTGAATTGACAATAAATAGTTTTGCTTGAAAATCACATTTGTTTGTACGCTGGACTAACAAATAAGCTGTCTTCATCTTTTTTTTTATATATATGTGAATGTCTTGTTGCTTGTATCTTGATGGTTATTTAGCTTAAATTACCAGTTTTTATGTGTATCATTATTTGTAATTCATTTATTTGCTTTTCAAAACTCAGTGTCTATTTTTACCGTTAAATTGATTTTTCAAATCTTATGGTATCATAGGGTTAGGAGTTTTGTATAAGAGGTTTATCGAATTCATTTGTTTGTTTATCGAATTTACTTACACAAGAATTTTCTTTAGTTTTGTTTCTTATCCATATTGTGATTCAGTTACGAGTAAAATTTTATTTTCCTCTTGTAGATTTTCTGGTACTATAAATCTAAATGTCATAAAAATTTTAAGATGAAGAAGAAAGTATGAACCCGCGGGCCAGCCCGCAAAACCACAGAATATAGGCGGGTTGGGCTTGGACACATCAATTTGGGACCGCAGCTTATGATGGGCCAGCCCGCCAGACCCGAAAAAAAATTAAACCCGCATCGGGTCAGGCTATTTGGACGCGGGTTAGCCCGTTTGACATCTCTATAAATAAGACAGAATAGTACTAAGATTCTAGCTTCGTTATAATTAAGGGTGACTTGGGTATAAACTAACAATTGAGGAGATAATTAGGTTTGTACGTAACTATAAAAATAAATTGGGAAGAGATTGTGGACAAAATTTTTCGTTCCCCGATTTGCCCCTACTCAAAAAGGCCAATGATATTTTGGGAAGCTATACTTACCCGACATAACATTTAATGTTCTGATTCTGCAGGTTTATTTGGAGAAAATCCGCCGCCTGACACAAGGATTTCTTCTCTTCCCAATATCTAATTATTGCATGGCCGCTAACTTATGTCTCTAATAGTGACGTTTAATCGATAACAATTATTTTAATATTAGTTAGACCTCTATTTAAAGCATCGGCGTTAATGAAAGTGAAACACAACTCTTTACTTCATTTATTACAGAGCAACCTCGTTTTCTTCTGTAACAGGTTCTGGAGGACATTGAAGAAGGGTGGAAGGTCTTGGATTTCTGATTACAGCTGGTAACTTCTCTGTATTTTTCCTTAGTTATCCCTGTTTTTTCGAACTTACATATAACCAGGTTATGTATAATGTCAAAAGTATTGTCAAATCTCGATATCTCAGTTATCTAAGCATCACCTTTTCTGTTCACATAATTAGGTGCGATGACTCTACATGTCTCCGTAATTCGAGGGGTGTGGAAAAAACAAAGTGATGCGAGTTGGATCCATGAACCAGACGAAATCGGCATACACGCATCGGTCGAAATGAACGAGAGAGAGTCTTTCCAATCGATGACAAATGCAATCAAAATCGGTTTGAAAATTAGTAGTAAATATTTCCTACGTTGCCTGATATTGTTATATTATCATGTACCATTTCAGGAGAGGATCTGATCGCACGTTTGTACGACAACCCGGAACCAGATCCAATGCTTCAAGCACCGGCTCTGGAGCAACAGACTGTTGATGTGCAGAATACGGGTGCCAATAAAGGGAAACGAGTGATGACCGAACACGGAATACTATCTCGTGAAGTTGGTGGGTCATCAAGGCCGAGTCGAGCTTTGCTAGCGACTAACATTTATCCATTAGGAGCAATAGGAAACGATGTAGCATCTAACATCTCACAGTTACCGGCTACACATCAAACTTTAACTGCAAACACACCACAGTTTGCCTACCCCCCGTGTCATTGTCCGGTAATCCCCCAATATTGCTTCACACCCTAGCTGTTGGCGCTGAACCAAGAGTAGAGCCAGCGTTGCACGAAAGGGATGCGCCTCCATATTTCGATGACCCAATTATCGGAGGTAAACAATATTTATGTCTGTTTCAAGTTTACATGAATTGTAAATGTTATCTAGCTAATTGGGTTAAATGTTTACACTGGTTAGCGGATGAAATAGCGAGAGGGTTGGGTGATGCACAGTACGAGGGAGATGACATTTTCGTTGGAAGAATCTTTAAGACGAAAGAAGAGTGCAAGTTGAAACTCGCGCTGCATGCAATAAATCGAAGGTTTCATTTCAAGAACGTCAATTCACAACCTGAGACCGTCATTGTTTGTTGCGTTGGCCAGACATGTCCTTGGAGGATTTATGCCACACAGATAAAAGACAGCTTACGCTTTGAAGTCAAAACTGTGATCGGGAATCACACCTGCAGCGTCGACGCCCGAAGTGATTTCCACCGAGTAGCTTCAACGGATGTTATTGGAAAGATGGTTCGCGAAAGATATGGGTTGAACATAAAGGGGCCAATGGCGTGTGATCTTTGCCGTCTGCTTCGACAAGAGTACAGCTTGCACGTCAGCTATTGGAAGGCGTGGAGAGCAAGAGAGATCGCATTGGACAACGCCTTAGGCGGTGCTGCAGCAAGCTTTGCGTTGGTGACCCCCTACTTTGAAAAACTACTAACGACAAACCCTAATTCTGTTGTTGCTTTGGAGACAGAAACCTCAGCCTCAGGGGTTGTCCGTTTCAAGTATCTATTTTACTCGTTAGATGCGTGCGCTCAGGGATATAGGTACATGAGGAAGGTTATTGTCATTGATGCTACACACTTAAGCGGACGATATAGTGGGTGTCTCATGGCGGCAAGTGCTCAAGACGGTAACTTCCAAGTCTTCCCTCTCGGCTTTGGGATCGTGAACAGTGAAAACGACGACTCTTGGGAATGGTTCCTAAGAAAGCTGACCGCAATAGTGCCAGACGAACATGACCTTGTCTTCGTCTCAGATCGGCATGCTTCCATATATGCAAGCATTCGTAAGGTTAGCGCCTAAACTCCAGGGTTACCGTATATTTATATCTATTAGTGATAAACCAAAATATGTCGCTAAATAATTGGTTAACTTGCTAATTGTTTCCATTTCTCGACTCCAACAGGTGTACCCGATGTCTTCACATGGAGCATGCATTGTTCACTTACAACGAAATGTAGTTACTAATTTCAAATCGGAGCACCTGAGTCATCTTACTTCTGTAGCTGGAAGGGCGTATCGTTTTAGCGATTTCGAGAAGGCATTTATGGAAATTAAAGCGATCGACGAGAGGTGTGCAGACTATTTACAGAGGATTGGTTTTGAGCATTGGACGAGATCGCATTTCGTAGGGGAACGCTATAATGTGATGACGAGCAACATATCTGAATCTTTGAACAAGGTCATGACAATGGTAAGAGAGTACCCCATCATTTCTATACTGGAAACTATAAGAACGACACTTGTATCTTGGTTTGCGATAAGAAGGGATTCTGCAAACACTGAGACTGACGTCGTGAATCCCAAGATTCAAGAGATGCTGATTGAATGTTTTCAGAAGTCTTCAAGATATTTCGTCATGAAAATAGGTAAGATATGAGATATATTGTTTACCTGTTAACATTTACAGTTGACGGTAGTCTTTATCTGCTAACACTAATTTTACATTACAGAAAATGGACTATACGAGGTGCGTGACGAGATGGATACAGCTTTTGCAGTATCCTTGTGGGAACAGAGTTGTAGTTGCAGGGAATTCCAACTTCTACACATACCATGTTGCCATGCCATAGCTGCGGCAATAAAAGAGGGAGTCCGTGTCGATAGCTTGGTCGATATACACTACTCCACTCAGTATCGCAGGTTGGCATATGGTAAGGTTATAATGCCAGTCCCTGATATGGATCATTTGGCTCCACGACCGGAAGATGTCGGTGGAGGAAAACTTGCACCTCCAGCGGTTCGTCGACCCCCAAGCAGGCCACGAAAGCAGAGAATATTGTCTCGTGGGGAATTCAATGTACAAAATACTTTACCTCTTTAAATCAGTAGGAAGTATGTAATCGGTAACTCGATTAGCGCATAACTTCCTATACCTGTAATCCTCAGTGAGTTTCCAGAAGAAAATGCACAAGATGCCGAGGACGTGGGCACAACCGTTCAACCTGCAAGACCCCATTACCGGTATAAACCATCTTCTTCTAAACAATTAACATATTATGGTGACTCTGTAATTTTTACTCTTTTTAATACAGGGGGAATAGTCAGAAAATGGTGCTAAGGAAGGGGTTTTTTTTGGCGGCTGGATGCATATCATTCTATCCACATTTTGTTGTCCAAAGGAATAGAATGTTAGGGGTTAGCTCTTAATTTCAATTTGTATGATAAGTCTTGAATGGTGTAGTAGTTTGTCGTCGAGTTTTACAATGTTTAAAGACGACTATGTACTATCGCGGATAACGTATGTACCAGCTAACTCCGAGCATCTTTTAATGAACTATTTATTTTCTGTTATTACGCGACCTAAACCCTAACTATACCTTGGTTACACTCTAATATGTATATCTTCTTGGCTTTCACTTAAACTAAACCTTAATCGAAATAGGTCAACCCAAATGATCCAAAGATACCCCCTAACACCACTTATCCTATAACTTGGTTACACTCTTATGTGTATATCTCTTTCGGCTGTGAGTATAACTAAAACCCTAATCGAAATAGGTCAACCCAAATGAACCAAAGATACCCCCTAACACCACTTATCGTATAACTAGGTTACACTATAATGTATATATCTCTTTCGAATGTGAGTAACACTAAAACCCTAATCGAAATTGTTCAACCCAAATGTTCCAAAGATACCCCCTAAACCAAATTACACTATAACTTAGATACACCCTAGTGTGTATATTTTTTTCGGCTGTCACTTAAGTTTATGTGTTATATGAGTATCTAAGTCACCCTAAACTAAACCCTAATCGAAATAGGTCAACCCAAATGATCCAAATATACCCCCTAACACCAATATTTCGATAAATTGGTTACACTCTAATGTGTAGATCTCTTTCGGCTGTGAGTAAAACTAAAACCCTAATCGAAATAGGTCAACCCAAATGTTCCAAAAATACACCCTAAACCCAATTTGACTATAACTTGGTTAAACCCTAGTGTCTATATCTAAACCCTTGAAGTAAAACTAAAACCCTAAGCAAAATACGTCAATCCAAAAGATACCCCCTAACACGAAATGTCCTATAATGTGATTACACCCTAATATGTATATCAGCGTCAGGTTTCGGTTAAAGTAAAAACCTAATCGAAATAGGGGAACCCAAATGATTCAATGGTAAACCCTAACTCCAAGTTAAATATTATTTTGCATTCAATAAGTTACTTACTGACTAACAAAAACTTAAAACCTTATCGAATATGGTGAACCCAAATAAAGCCAAACCCTAAACCCTAAACCCTTAACCTAATTTCCTATTGCGGAAACCCTAACCCTAACCCCTAAATTCTAAACCCTAAACCCTAAACCCTAAACCATAAAATGTTAACATTAATCAAACATGGGTCATCCCGTATAAAAGCAAACGTTAGCCGTTAATATTTGGGGTTACACGTTAACGTTGATAACAAATTGCTTGGTAATTCGTATTCATTAACCGATGACTTAGTTATTACTTAATAAACCTAAAGCAATTTCTAACCCACAGAAATATCTATTACCGATGTTTTTGGCCTATACGTAATAAAATTGAATCCGAATTAGAAGATAAACCAGATAACGAAATAAAATTTGTCTGACAATACAACAACGTAACGCGGGTTTCTAAACCGAAAAGTAAATAAAAGTCTATCCACCGCAAGTCTAGGAAAATGAAAACCGAAGTCCACAAAGACTAACAACAATCCTTAAAAGTTCATAGGTATTGCTCAATAAGAACTGTAACGACTTTCTTCGCCTCCAAGTCAATGTGCGTAAGGTCGAACTCCTTAGAACCCTCTCTGCCGAAAAGGGCATGAGATAACATTAAGAAGTACGCCACTAAACCAGCATCGTTTGTTGACTTTATCTACGGTACGTCAGTGATCCTTTCAATATCATATTTGGTAGTAGACAACTGAGACATCTTTTCGTTATCTGCAACCTCTATAAACAAATAGGGAAGCATTTCAGCGATGGGTCGGATTTCAGTAGTCATGCTTGCATCCGTACGCAGATTGGTTTTACAGTCCAAAACCTCAATCTTGCAAGTAGAGAGATGAACCGCAAGAAATACCCAGTGCTTGATATCGAGATTAAACGGCAGATAGAGAATATCAGCATCCGAGAAAAGCGGCAACCGATCAACTTCCCCAACACCTTTAAGTCTCTCGGTGACGGCTTTGGAAAACTTAAAGTCAGCTCGGGGATCTGTCCTGCTAAACTTCGGGTGTAACTTGGATAACATCGATACAAACTTTCCAAAATATCCACTCTCGGCTGCCGACTGTCTTCGCGGAGTATATGCCTCCCCAAAAAACATAGAGAATCCATAACCTGGGTTAAATCAAATACGAAAGCAATAGGTTAGCATTTAATAAAATTAGCAGCTAATAAACCTTTGTTACAGAATCTCAGTGAAAACCTTTGCAGGCATTGGTTTCTGTCTCCCCAGCATTTCGTTTAGGTTCTTCGATGTAAGAAGGTTTCCTTCCCCACATGCCTGAGGCCTACAAATTTTTAAATACACAATTCAGCGTACAATCTTTATAACTAGAGGAACAGAAGTTAATGATAATTGGGTCAGCGACTAACTTCTTAAATGCTTTCATAGCTTTATCAAACCGTTGTTGAAGGGCTTTCTCAGAATCATCGACAGCTTCGGAATTCTCTATAATAGTTCTGATACGCTTCTCGCATGGAAAAGGACTGTCTAATCGAGTCGATACAGTCTTCTGACGCTTGCTCACCCTCCTCTGAACATGTTCCACTTTGGCTTGCTCCTCCGAGTCTATAGTCAGATTTTTGGGATCGATAATATCTTCGTCAACAGAAATTACAGCATTGGGTTCAGGAATGTCAGAGGTTACAATCTCATCAGGCTGGACGTCTCCAACACCATCCACCTACATACATGGTCGTAGCAAAGACAAAAATATAAATATACGAACATTGAAATAAGTGTAAATCAAATTACCCATGTTCTATAAGTTATATAACAGTTACGGCCCCTATATGTTGGATTTGTGATCCAAAATATACATACCGTGGTAACCGGGTTATCAATTCACAATTATCTTTGAAATCCCGGATTGCAATATAACTAGAATAGCGTCTAATAAACGGTTATAAAGACTATAATTTAGGGTAATAACGGGAACATGTACCTCATCAATAAAGTTCTCTCCCACCGGGGGGATTAGCACATAATTAGGGCCTGATTTCAAGGGATCGTCATGTTCAGGGTTTTCCTATGTAATTATTTTCACGGATTAATAGAGCATAGTGAACAAATAAAAAACATCAAATTTAAAGCTAAAACTTAAAGCAAATACCTCCACCTGCAAATTCACACCATCTGACGACTTCGGCACGTCATTTTGTGGGTTGAACTGAGGGAGAGAGGCGCCATCATTTTCCTATCAAACACATTAATATGGATATGTTATACAGACACCCACTATGTTTTTCGATAAATTAGTATGACAATTCTACCTTCTCAGGTCGGGTTTCTGACAAAACGACACCATCATCGCCTGGGTTATGCGTCATAACCTGCTCACCATCAACAGCGTCGACACTGCATTCCCCTATGGGGTCAACGGTACCCTTACCAACTCTTGCAGTGTTGGTGGCATCATCAGCTCTGGGAGCGTATGTGGAAACAATCTCGTCAACCGTCGGCATGGAGGAGAAGTCTAAGTTAGGAAATGGAGTGTCGCAGTTTTGTTTGGCCTGACCATCATGGTGCGCTCCGGGTTGGACCGAAGGTAATTCCCCCGATTTATTTGCAGTGCTCGGAGGGGGCTGCTTGCGAGACCTTGACTTACCGGCGCTAAGGCCCGAGAATGATGGACATATATTGACCTCGCGGTCGATAACTGCGTTATCAAGAAACCACTGGGTCACACCCTTAATTATCTTCACATTGTTGGCTTCAAACATACGTTCTATCTTCTTGTTATTTTCTTGTACGATTTTTGAAACCATTGTCTTCAACTTCTCCTCAGAAAACATAACTCCTTTGTCACTGTCATGTGCAACGTTTGTGACTCGACTTCTACCAGACTTTCTCATCTTCCCTTTACCTTTCTTCCCAACAACAATCTTTGTCTTCTTAACACCCCTTCGAGAACTTGTACGAGCTGCTAAAACCTCAGGATCAATGCCAGGGCCAAACATTTCAGACTTAAATTCGAATCCTTGATTAATAAGAGTAATCATATGGTCGACCCTTTCGTCCTGTTCATCTTCGCTCCAGGATAGATCCTCCTCGTCGTCGCTGATTTCGAAATCAGGCCGAATGATAGAGTTAACCGCGACTTTGACAAACACAATAATTATAAACGTATGTTAGCCGCTAACTGGTAAATTTTACATGCTACCCTGAATACACACTGCAAATTTTGTTATCAGGCAACTATATTATCATATCTAAGAATGATATCGTACGTACTGTAACTTATCATAAACAATCACGATAACTAATACAGCAACAGGCCAATGTTACATGTTAACTGAGTATTAAACCAAACAATGTTACAGGTTAACCGACTTATCAAAAAAGGAGCCTAATCCCTCAGAGTAAGCACATCAACTCTTGTTAAGATCGAATCACTATATCGAATCTAACACCGATATAGTGAATAGTTGTGAATTTCATATCCAACAATGATAACTTACACTACAATTACCAACAGTTACATGGTAAACTAATTATCCGATACACTAAACACATTTCCAGATTATCACATCAAATCCTGTTATCATGTAACAACTTACTCATATATAACAATGATAACTTAGTACTGCTAAGTATCAGTTCCAACGAGGACAACTTCAGTTGAATACAGTAATTTACTAAACCTAGAGCGTAGTTGTTACAGGTTAATTTAAGTCTCATAGCTAACAAATATATAGTAGCACACAAGTTCATTATAAGCAAGATAATAGAGTTATCGCAATTGTAAACAGTTAACTAGTAAACCGTTTGTAACATATTTAGCAAGTTAAAAGGGTTTACTTCGTACCATTTCATCTTTGTCAAGCACTCTAGCTTTATTCAACTGAAGCTGAACTTTCTGCGGACGCAAGTGAGCACCGCCCCTGCTTGGGCTACTGTCTTCCCCATCAGATGAGTCATCATCTTCTTGAATGGCTGGGACGGCCTCTAAAACAACCATTTGTAAGGCAGGGAACAAACCTCCGACAGTAATGTTAGCTGTTAAAATCTGTGCTAAATTCCTGCCCTTTATCGAATTCATCATTACATCAAAGGATAACCGGCCCCAGGGGTACTGCAGAAATGCATCAAGATCTTCAACCATCTCGGCGTGATCCATGCTCACCTTTGACCGAGAAAAATGAACAGAAGGCATTAGAAAGGCATCCACTATGGCAAGGCACGCGTATCGCAGTCTCAACCGGGTCTCTAAACTAGTTTTCTTCTGCAATATCTCGATTGGTCGTTCCACTGGGACTTCTTTCTCATCACCGAATAGAGTCTTGAAGTACTCGGGAACAACATGCGGTCTCCTTTTTTTCTTCTGACTTGTTGGGTATTTCCCGCATTTCAAACCGGACACTATTTTAAACTCCCGGATTGAGAATCGATTCGGTTTCCCTGCAAATACCAGCCAGATCGTTTTCTTTCTTCACGTCAAGAAGTCTGGTGAGGGTGAACAAACCGAATGCGCCGGACCAAGCAGGCTGGTTTGCAAAATCGAACAGTTTTCCAAACTGAGATGCCTTCATAAAATCCCTCTCTGTCTGACTCAAAGCGGCATCGATGTCAGATATAACCGTCATCTTCTGGTAAATGTTCACACGGTCTCCCTTGGGGACTTCTTCAGGGCTGAAGATCCGTTGGGGAAGACCGGAGTCGGCCATCTATACAGGATATTACGATTCATGAGTTAATCGGACTGCAATTCCCCTAACCACTCACCTAAACCTCGAAAACGAATGAACTGTAATTCTACATCTAATCGTTCGAAATTTACCTCTTCGGACATGGATTCTGATCGCGTTTCCTCGTCATCGCTGTGGTCAGAACTACCCATCGTTTGGTGGGAATGAAATTCTTCACAATTTTCGCCGTTATCTATGGGTATTGAATGGAGATTACAAACCCTAGCGTAGGAAATTTCTCGTCTTCCACCCAAACCTGAAAATTTATTTTCCAGATTATTTTAAATATTTAATATTCAAAATTTAAAGTTCTCACTCTTCCCGAGAATTTCTCTGCCTAAAGCAACAATAAACGCCAGTAATGTAGGGGCCCACTGCGACAACTAAATCTGCTAAATATGTTATAACAGTTATCGCAGACCCTATCCAAATACGTCAGAGTAGGGGTAATGTGGGATAGTTATTCTAACAGTACGCTTAGAGCAGTGTTCATTCTGACAAACTAATTTCGAGTTATCTATAGGTAGATACTCATATAACTCTATAATTAATTCAACTTATGGTGCGACTATGTTATCTTTTCGTTTTCGTTGGAGAGTCCTCATGTCTTATTCCTCGTGCATTTACCACAATCCACTTACCACTTATATTATCTAATTATGTAAACGTAAAACTTAATTGTTTCTTGTTTTCGCCTGTTAAAAAAAAAACATTTATGTTGATCGAATCATTTAATCTCGTTTGGCGGCTGTGGCTCATTTGAAGATTTATTGATTGCAATCTTATTTTCATTACGCTACTGCATTGCAAGATTTATCATATAACCTGACCTTTTGCTTAAGGGTGATAGAGTTTAATTATGACCGCCATTAGGAGTGCTAGAGAGAGGGAGAATGTGTACCCATTAGATCAGCCAATGCGAGACTTACTACTATTAAAAAAACTTGGATGTTCAATTCCGCAATATTCTTCAATGCTCCAGCTATATATTCACAAAACATGCTAAGTTGTAGTTTTTTGGTTAATAAGATATTGATTCAAAAAACATCTTGGTGTGGCATAAAAACATATACAAATGTTGATTGGTCTTGTTAACATGGAACTTGCTAAAAAAAAAGGAATAATGATTTTACTGTGAAATTATTTTGGATTACATGTACGATATTGAATGCTCTAATATCGGGTCTGAGGAGATGTACGAGTTTTGGCTCAGAACTTCTTAGTTATTAAAAAAAAAAATAGATATTGAATACTATATTTTTTACTTTCTAAAAATATCAACTAATAAGATTAAGATGTGTATAAGTTATTGCATAAAAAGAAAGATAATGTCCAAAAGAACTGGTTTACAAGTAAAATTATAAACTCGTATAAAATATATAATATATTTGTAAGAAAAATGTGTCTAATCGATTCAGATATAAAGATAACAAATCAATTTAAAAAAATTCATCCCGAATATTTTATGGGTAAAGAAAAAAAATTGAATATAGATTAACTAAATTTAAAGAAATTATTCTTCCAAATATTTAATCAAATTTTGTCAAATGTTTTCAGAGAACATATTTCTTTTTCTTGAACTAAATTCGTTTTTCTACTAAAAACGTAGACAAATATAGATCGGGCATGGGATATTTTGAATTTTTTTTAACAATAGGGTATATTTTGAATAACTGAAAAACTTTCGACGGTTAAATGTGAAAAGTCGTCAAGTTTACCCTTGTTTATAAAAAATACAAAGAGGGCATAATTCTGTGTGTGATTCTAGAAAAAAAGATTGAAAGAATGGGACCAGAACAGATGGTAAGTCATTAATCATAATTCTATTTTGTTTCAATTTGAATTTAAAAAGAAAGATGTAAAATAGTTTCAAATTTTCTGATCAGGACTAGTAGTAGTCTAGTACTAGCTAGATAAAGACATATGTTATCACAAAATTTGTGATTTGCCGACGGATATTCCACAACATATCTTTGATATGTATGTCATATATTTAAAAAAAAAGGCTTGAAAAATAGAATCAAAGATAAGAAAATATTTGTGTTGTTAATTTATATATTGCTTTTCCATTTGATCATTGTTATAGGAAAAATGATATATTTTATACCTCATTAGTGTGATCCTTTGTCAGAAGTACATGTAATAAAAAAATTGTGAAAGCGTTGAGAGCCATGTCCGATCCAATTGTCTAATGAAAATTTGATGAGATAAATGGTTAGAAAACCCATCATCCTGTCGGGATATATATATATATTAAAAATAATATCCAATATAAACTTTGAATGATATGAAAGATATGAGTCAATTCATTTATTATCAATTAGTTTTGAGTTAGAAGGTTATAAAATTTAACAATACTTGCTTGAGCAAGTTAGAACTCGGGGGTATAGAAAACAGTCAGTCTTTGATAATGGTCTCATCATGTTTCCTCACGAGATACCTAATAACCCTTTCACGAGAATCTATGAAGCTCTTGGAATCGTTCGACTATCTCGTCTCTATCGCAAAAAAAAATTGTCTTCTATATACCTCAAAGTTCACAAATATACAGTGCATATATACAAATATATATATATATATATAGGGTCTGAGAATTTGGGGGCTAGAAACAATTTAAGAATAAATATCTTTTTTGTGATTTGGGGGCTGAAAAATTCGTAAATAACCAAAGAAAAATTTTGGAGATTATAGGCGGATGTTTCATCAGATTGTCTCCAGATTCGATCCTAATATATATTCTTTGCCTTATGCATTTTGTATGTCAGTCTATGCATTCTTCCGTCACTAAACCCAAACTATCCATCGTCAACAAACATAATACCATAGAAGTTTTATTAACACAATTAAATTTCGGCATGAGCATGAACAAGGGCACTGCTAGCTAATGAAGATGGATTATGGCATACCTAACTAGTAAACGGAGAACCAACTTTTAGATAACGAGTAACCACATTTTATCGGTTGAAACATGAATAAATTTAAACGATTTAGAGATGGTAAACTTATTCATTTCCTCATTCAAGTCATATAGCTTCTTATTGCAGATAAAAAGATAAGCTAGTAGACTAAAAAAAAAAGAAGAAGAAGCTAGTGAACTAGGATCTTTTAGTTCTTTCGTTTTGAAATTTGTTAAAATAATACTTCTATACGTTTTGTTTTAGAAAAGATAACTGAGTCATTCTATTACATAACATCACAAAATACCAAACAACTTATCATTTTAAAAAACTATTCACTGGACGCTAGAAAATAAATATCAGTGAATACTGGTTATCAGTGATACTGGTAATAGTCACGTTTTCTCTGTTATTAGACATTTTTTTCAAAAAAAAAAAAATTGGAACTTACACAAGTATTTGAAAACTAATACAATTTATGTGAAAACATATCACAAGTTTTCACTTTCATACATTTTTTCAATAAACAATAATTGTACTACTAGCTGATTAATTCCCCTGATTACTAAATTACTTTAGTGGAAGTATTGCTATTTTAAGAGGTCCACTAATACCACAGAAGCCCAAATAATCAATTCATGATTGTGAACATCCGAAACTAGGCCTGCCTGATATAGAAAAAGCATATGACGATGATTCATTCTTACATTTTTGGTTATATATTTGCAATCCCAAGTGGGAGATATCTTCAATTGTTGAATTTTTCGATCAAGTGTTTTCTTTGATTCGTGGGTCGGGGACTCCGGGGCTAAACATTTTCGACTAAGAATCAGTGTATGAAGTGCAATAATACAATCCACAAATGATGTTTATTCTGTAGTATGCAAACCTGGTTTTTCTTATGAAAGAATATGTACATATTTGAAGAAAGAAGATTGGTATAGTACCATAAACTTACCTTTAATATCTTTTGCACTTTTTGCTCATGATCTAATGATCGATTCATACCACTTTCTGATCATCATCTAAAAACGAAACCGAGATAAGAGACCATCACAAACCCAACTTATATTTAGATATCAAGTGACATGACCCTTCATTATTAACAAGTAAAATCTCTAACCCCAAAAAGTTAGTTTTGTAAATGATCTTTCCACAAAACACCAGAAACAATTTGCCTAACCACTAATCTGATCTCTATCGCTTACTCTTACTTTCTTCTTGCTACAATATTCTTTACCGCTTTTAACCATCGAACAAGAAAGTGTCTCTACTTGAACAAGATCTTTGCCTAATTTCAGAAATTAGAAAGTTATCATACACTAGTGTACTTAGATTCTGAGAGATCATTACTGTTTTATTAGCTGCAAATCGGACAACGAACAAGACCATTCTCATTACACTCCACACATCTCACCACAACGGCGTCGTTTCCCCATCCTTCCACCACTTTGCAGCTTCCATTGCAACCAGAACACGGCAAAAACGATAAACCGCCGCAACCGTCGCAGCAACCGCCGCCGCGGCGATCTTTCTTCCTCGGAATCCCTCTGAGTAAATCTCCGAGCAAACCTTCTTCCACCAATCTCATCACTTCCTCTGCTCCCCCGACGTACTTCCCCTTCACGAAAACCCTAGGCGGGAGAGAATCTCCGTTCTTCGCTCCGGCCATGAGATTCGTGAGCTCTTCTCTGAATCCTCTATCCATCGAGACGTCTCTCTCGCATATCACAACACCGAAGCTCTCGATCGCGGATTTAACGGCGTTACAGTCCTCGAATGTCCTCCTCACGCCGCGCAAAGACGTCGTGTAGATCACGACGCGATTCTCCTCTCCGCCGTCAAGACACGGCTGCTGCTCCTCGTCGGGTTTCTCCGCGGATTTCGGATCTAGCGGTTCGGGTTCGAATAGATTTCTAGGGTTTTTCGAATTGGGATCGGAGTTCTCTTTGTTTACTCCGACATTATCGTATTTCGCCGAAAGAGGAGAGAATCGGCAAGTATCGGAGTCGAGACCAGACATTAGCTCATAGAAGTTAATAACCTCCGGCTCTGATTTGAGTGTCGTTGGGTCTTTGCCGACGATGGTGAATCTCTCCGGCGGAGTCATCGGTGTGGCCGGTGAGAAGATGGCGGAAGAAGTAGGCGGAGGAGGCGGAGGGTCGAGATTGAGAAGGCCGTAAGTGGTGGAAGTTAGCTTGACGAAGTGGCTGTGGCATCCGGCGAGCTGAGAGAAGTCGTCGTTTTGATTCAGGAGGTTAGAGGAGACGCAACCCATCGCCGGAGAAAGTTTGTTGCTTTTTTTTTGGGAAAATGGGAGGAGAGATTGAGTGAGAGAGACGGTCGAGTCGAGTCCAAGTGAGATTTCAAGAGAGAAAATCAGAGGAAAACTCCTTAAAGAAAACACCAAAGGAATCGAAACTCGAAAGGGACAATGCACGTGGCGTTGGTGTGTAAATATGTCCATTTCTTTCGCCAAACACGTTAATGACCATGAAAATGATGAAGTCATTATTTTATTTTTCTTATAATGTCGTTTATAGAATTAAGTTAATATTATTCGAAGGTGATATACACGATGAAATACATAAATCATCGGAAGATATTGAAATTGAAATCCCCGAAAAAAAAGGTCTAAAATCAGAAAAGAATCCAAATAAGGTTAGTCATATTAGTTCAGTTTTACTGTTGTTGGTGGTACGCTCCGTTATCCAGTTCGAACCGGTTAAAGACTGAAACCGGTCCAATTGATCCCAGTTTACAACAGTTTTAGCTGAAGTGGGTTTGCCCTGACAGCACAGCTCATAGAGAGACAAGCCCAACGATAAGAGGCGGTGAGAGTCGACGGGGAAGCTCTAAATCTTCTCCTCATTAATGTACTATAAATAAAGGGCTCGTTATTGTAGAATGAATCTTTTTTCGGACCCGGAGACATAGAGACCTCAATATTATTGTATCCAGTCCGTCGAAAGACCTCCGAACTGAACGAACTGTAAACTCGACACTTAATTAAATAAAATCAATCTTCCGAACTCGAATTACCGAACCGACCCTAAATAAGTTGAGAACCACAATCAACAATTGGCGCCCACCGTGGGGCCGATTCGGTAATCGACCTCGAAGACATGACAACTGATGAGAGACAATCGACCTCAGTCTAGGTCGGAAGTCACGCGACAGTCTGTGAGGACAACCCCACTCAAGTCGGAGGACATACAGACGAAGATGTTTACAGCCATGTGCGACCACAACCTGATGTGCAACAGACTAGAGCCGAACCGAGCTCGAGCGCTGAAGCCCATCCCAGCAAATGCGCGCTCAACCGACTGCACGCGACCTGGAAATCAAGCGGATGCAAGCCCAACTGCGAAAGATCAGTTCCAAATTCCACCAAGCCACCAGCTCGGCACCTGAAATCGACCGCGTAATCCAGGAAGCGCATAAGACACCGTTTACTTCCCGAATTACTAACGTTCCCGTCCCCAATCTAGAGAAGTTCAAACTGCGTTCGTATGAGGAGAATTCGGATCCAAGACATCACCTCGGCCGAACAGAAGGACGCGATTCAATGCCAATTGTTCGTCGAACACCTTGAAGGCATCGCACTAGATTGGTTCTCGAGATTGGAAGCCGACTCCATTGACAACTACAAAGAGCTATCGACCAAGTTTGCAAAGCATTTTTCAATGTTCATCGGACAGAAGACCCGAAACTCCGAGTTATGGGAAATATCACAAGGCGAAACCGAGTCGCTCCGAGACTTTCATGGCACGGTTCAAGCAGATCGTGGCACACTGCACAGTGGACGACGAAGCCGCTCTCGAAGCGCTATATCAGAAAACGTGGTACAAATCCCCCTTTCATAAGGAACTTCGCAAGAACAGACCACTCACTCTTTAGGACGCGCTTCACAAATCGAACATTTTCATCGCGGAAGAAGAGGAAGCCGCCAAAGATCGGCAGTATTCAGCGTCGAAGCCCGACCAAGCTCTGACTGTCAAAGAGAACTCGGAAACAAAACCCCATTCCAGCAGGCAACGCAGAGTAGTGAACCAGGCCGGACCGTCAAACCACAAGTCAGAACGGCCACCAAAGTCTTGGAATACATGGAACAGAGAGGATGATACACCGCTGAGTGAACGTTTTTACGAGTATCACGAGCGATATGGGCACAGCACGGAGGAATGCCGACATCATAGGGACTTCTTACTTCAATAGTTCCGCAAGGGGGAGGTCGCCACCACGGATTTGCCTAAGCCCGGACCCCGACGACCGAACCCGCGACAAAACAAACCCCGCAACCAGGAGACCGTGAAGGCAGTCGAGTCCGATGAAGAGCAGGCAACCCCACCTGAACGAGACCGCGAAGCACCTAACCGGGAAACGAACGTTCCCAAAACCAGGAAGAAGGTCAACATGATCATGGGAGCCCTCGAATCATGCAACTACTCCGTCAGAGCACTGAAGGAGTATAGCCGGCAGGCATCGAGTTCGCAACCCCAGACAACGGTAGCCATTGTACCACTATTATTCACTGACGTCGACCTGCGGGGACTGCATATGCCTCATAACGATTGCCTTTTCGTCGAACTTCAACTCGGAAACGTTGAAGTAAGCAGAATACTTATTGATACCGGAAGCTCGGTCAACGTCATATTCAAAGAAACGCTCAAAAATATGGATTTCCCAGACTCCGAAATCAAGCCTTACATGGAGTCGTTAACCGGTTTCACCGGAGAGAAAACTATAACAGTCCGAACGGTGAAGATACCAATCTATGTCGGTGGATCAGCACGGTGATCAAATTCTTGGTCCTCAACAAACCAGCGATATACAACGCTATTTTGGGAACATCTTGGCTGTTCGACATGAAAGCTGTCGCATCGACATTCCATCAATGTGTTAAGTTCCCGACCCCGTCAGGGATCTACACCCTTAAAGGAAGCCAGACCGCATCTCGATTGTGTCATCTTATCGAATGCAAACTCAGCCTTGCGCGAACATGCGTCATCAGCGATTTTCAGGAGGACCGCGCGGCCGCAGTTAGTCAATTCGGGCCACCAAAGCAGAGCCGAGTTGAACAGGTCGGCATCGACCCGACAGACCCAGAGAGATGCGTCGGTATCGGGGCCAAACTCGACATCAGCATTCGGGAAGCGCTCATCAGTGTCCTCCAGAAGAACTTCGCAACATTCGCATGGTCCATCAGCGACTTGCCCGAAATCAACCCAGATATCACTTGCCACGAACTAAATATCGACCCAACTTACAAGCCGATTAAACAGAAGAGACGCAAGCTCGGACCCGAGAAAGCACGGGCAGTCAACGATGAGGTTGAGAAATTACTTAAAGCCGGCTCGATCACGGAAGTTTGGTATCCGGACTGGTTAGCGAACCCGGTAGTCGTGAAGAAAAAGAACGGAAAGTAGAGGATCTGCGTCGACATTACTGACCTGAACAAAGCATGTCCCAAAGACAGTTTTCCACTACCGCACATTGATCGTTTGGTAGAAGCGACAGCCGGAAACAAGTTGTTATCTTTCATGGACGTTTTCTCGGGGTACAACCAAATACTGATGCATCCGGACGATCGGGAAAAGAATTCGTTCATCACAGATCGGGGAATCTACTGCTACAAAGTCATGCCCTTCGGTCTCAAAAACGCAGACGCCCGGGAACCGTATGTTCGCTAATCAGCTCGGGAAGACGATGGAAGTGTACATAGACGACATGTTGGTTAAGTCTCTGTACGCCAAGGATTACATAGCGCACCTATCGACGTGTTTCGATATCCTTAACGAGTACGAGATGAAAATCAATCCCGCGAAGTGCACATTCGGCGTAACAGCAGGAGAGTTCCTCGGCTATATCATCACAGAGCGTGGTATTGAGGTCAACCCTAAGCAGATATCTGCAGTCTTGGACCTACCTTCCCCGACTTCAAAGAGGGAAGTTCAAAAGCTCACAGGTCGGATCGCCGCTCTGAACAGGTTTATTTCCAGGTCGACCAACAAGTGCTTGCCGTTTTACCAGTTGTTACGAGGTAACAAGCATCATACTTGGAGTGTGGAGTGCGAAGACGTCTTCAAGCAGCTGAAAATGTATCTCTCGACCCCCTCCCCCCGATCTTTGCCAAGCCCGAGACCGGTGAAACACTCTTCTTATATATTGCAATTTCCGCCACGGCGGTTAACAGCGTTCTAGTCCGAGAAGACAGGGGAAAACAGCGTCCAATATTCTATGTCAGCAAATCACTAAGTGACGTCAAATCCAGATATCTAACCTTAGAAAAATTGGCGCTCGCAGTGGTAGTTTCTGCTCGGAAGCTTTGACCGTACTTCCAGTCTCATTCTGTCACCATCTTGACCGACCAACCGCTCCGCACCATTCTGCACAGTCCAAGCCAGTCAGGTCACCTCGCAAAGTGGGTCGTCGAACTAAGCGAGTACGACATTGAATACAAGAATCGAACCAGTGCAAAGTCCCAAGTACTAGTCGATTTTCTGATCGAGCATCCTAAAGAATTCGTTGTCGAACAGCCGCCCCGCGAGCTGTGGACGTTGCACGTTGATGGATCATCATCGCACTGAGGATCGGGTGTCGGAATTTGCCTGAAATCCCCAAACGACGAAATCCTCGAACAATCATTCCGTCTTGAATTCCCAGCATCCAACAACGAGTCCGAATACGAGGCTCTACTTGCCGGACTGCGACTAGCTAAGGAGCTCGGCGTAAAACATCTTCACGCCTTTTGCGATTCGCAGCTCGTTGCGAGCCAGCTAAGTGGTGAGTACACGACTAAAAACGACCGAATGGATGCGTACTTGATGGCAACTAAGGCACGCATTTCGGAGTTTGAAACGTTCGAACTCACAAAAATCCCTCGCGGAGAGAACTCGTCAGCAGATGCCTTAGCCGCTCTAGCCTCCAGTTCCGACCCACAGATGAAGAGAAAAATCTCGGTCGAGAGCATCTTCGAGCCAAGCATCAAAACCGTACAGGAATGCAACGTTGCACCCGGCGACGGAACTACGACGAAAACCCGAACCCGATCCCGCCAAAAACACAACGAAGAAATCCGGCACGCACGAGCGAGGATGCCGAGTAGGCTCCCGAAGATTCAATTGCCAACCACGATTTCGAGCACATAACCGAAGGAATCCATAACCCTTCAACCAATGAGAACTAGAGAAATGAGCACTCCGAAGATTGGACAGCCGAGCTACGAGATTACCTCTTCAACGGAACAGTCCCCGAAGACAAATGGGCCGCTCGCCGCTTTAAAGTCCGAGCCGCCCACTATACAATGCACAAGGATAAACTGTACTGTTGGAGCACGTCC